CTATCTGTCAATAATGCAGAGGCASGAGYAAGTCAGTCAGAAGACTGCATATATCAATGTCTAAATCTGAAGAATAAACAAGTTGGAAGAATAACTTTTTAAGTTATTTCCAGTGCAGTATTAGTGAGAAATAAATGAGGTTATGATGATCAAAGTCAGATGAAGGGCTGAAAGCAAATAACTTTTTATAGCAACTGACTTCATCTTGAATATGACAGACTTCCAAGCTAGACTTTTTCAAGAAATGAAAAATGYGTTTGTTCCAGTGAAGTCTGTGATGTTCACAAGGTCAGCCAAACACACCAGGTGTGCAAAGGAAGCAGCAGATCAACTAAATCTGCTTCAGACAGATTGAAAGGAGACCTTGAATTACATCTACATTGTTCACTTGGAATATCCCGCTACTAGCATTCATACTTTTTGGATGATTCAGTGTTTTGCCAAGGTCTCATTCCGCACACATTGCACTTCAGCTTTTCTCCATGTATCTCTTTAGGACAGAATCTTTATCAAAGGGGCCTTCTCAAAACAGGAGCAACATGGGGCAAATTGCATCCATGCCATGGATTACACATCATACATATGGTTTATCTCCATGCCTTTCAAACAGGATTTGAAATTACTCTGTTYAAATACACGTGTAAATTACTGGGTTTTTTTGTCCACAGATCAAGCAAGGACCATACATCAAAAGCTCTATCAAGAGATGACAAGTTTCAAGGCCTTTGGGAGAGATTTACTATAGATATTGATTACACTGAAGATTCTGCCTTATGTGGTCTCTATAACAACAAAGAGGAAAAGGCAGCTCCAGAAATTCCACCTCAGGTACACAAAATATACACTACAAAAAGCTTGCCAATATGGTACATTTGCTTTAGAGAGTAACAGAAATAAATAATGATTTATAAACATGTCAGGGGGTGCTTGGGCTAACACTGGACATCTGCAACATTTCCTAGAAAGGCAAAGGGAGAGGCTTGGACCTCAGCCAGAGATCTATTTTCCAGTGGCTTCAGCACAACAAAACCCCATTCACACAAATTTCCAGGAACACCACAGAGACTCAAGACCTTCATTCTTTCAGCTGAGCCTACGAACAGCCTGTGCTCTTATCCTCTGAACAGAAACAGCCTTTTGGAATTAACGTCTCTGCTCTTGACACTCAGGGAAAATTTGGTAGAAGCACAAGTGAAAGAATTACCAAAGAATGAAGCCTGCTCAAGGGCCACAGTGAGGTGGTCCTGACCTTGGTGGGATCCTGGGCTGGAAAACTCCATAATGGGACTGAAGCACTGGGAGAGCCGCAAGCAGCTCTGTGGTAGGAGCCAGTGCTGCAGCCACCAAAGAGACCCTTTGACAGGCAGCTCTGGCACGGGACACAAACTGCAAGGCTCAGCTTCAGGCATGGAAAGTGCCAGGTGTAAAAGCTGAAGTTTTGGATACTCTAGTGAGAACAAAAGAAAAATGCAAGACCAAGGATAAKATAAAGTCAGTTGCCTTTGTGAAAAACTTCTGCTAAAGCTCTTCTAAAGGACATTCCTGCCTCTTTGGGCCACAGGAGAAAACATAATTCAGTCACCTGTCCATCCAGGTCAAGCTTTAACCATGTTTACTTAAATATAACATCATTATGGGAAAAAAAAAAAAGAATAGGCACTAGGACAAAGTACAATTGTGAATAGAATATTCAAAGCAAAAATGAAAAAAAACCTGCAATAAGGTAGCTGGAAAATAAAATAAATACTGYGCATTGTCTACACTATCATCTGAAGACAAGATGACAGATTACTCAAGTAGCCCAAACCAGAGAGATTGTTTACAAGGATCAGAAGGTTTTCATATTAGACAAAAAGCATAAAACAATAATTCACATCATATGTCTACATCTTTTATACCACAAAAGCTCCTATTTTCACATCTCAAAATGTAAAGTTGTTAAAAAGGCAATATAATACATTCAAGAGCAAAAAATGTGACTGTGCATCAATAAAACAGATTTATAAATTAGAACTTACATTCCCATGTTCCGGGCTTCTGCTTGACTCAGGTTTTCTTCAGGTCCAACAATTTTARTATTTCTGATAATGTTCTTGGCTTTTTCCCAGAATTTCTTGATGTGCTTTTCATGGTAAACCTCCTGTAATCATGTTAACATTTTTTTAGCAAATGTAAGATCCAAATTACTATGAAATCATAAACATAGTGTCCAAGAACATATTGCATTCTGTCCTAAAGAAACAGATGCCAAACAGTGTTTGAAGATAGTCCAGTATATCTGTCATAAAAATGAACCTCCTCTGTCCAAAATTTTAGGAAAATAATCCAACACRTCAGAAATATTAATCAAAAGCTGCACAATGATGCAAGATTCACCAATTATCTATTTTCAGTATTTTTCAGGATATTTATGTTACAGCCTTTAAAACCCATCCTACAAACCTCAGTGGCACTTAGGAACTTTTTATGCCACTCCAGAATCACTTCAGAGAGGGAGCTGCACCTGTACCAAAGTGTGCAGGCACAGTCATTGTTTTTTTTTGTTTTTTTTTTAAATGCAGTCACACTAATTGTTGYTTTAATTTCTATTTACCCTCCCTCTATTTAAGAGCTCTCCACCGCATGCAACACTTCCAAACCAGTGCCCTCATTGTAGCTTTTGCTGATTATGGCCGACACAGAATAACTGAAATATTGGGTAGGGGTTTTACCCATCTATAATAAAAAGCTGTTCAGTCTTTATATTCATTTYAAATACCATAAAACCTCTGGCTGAAGCAACAAAACCTACACAGCCCACAACTCCCACATGCATATCACATTAATACCTCCAATATCCCTGTAAAAAACCAAAATGAAGACCTCAGAGATAAGTAATAGAAGCAGAGCTTATCCCCTTTTTTCTACCATACCAACAGCAACACRGGCACTGAGAAAGGCTACAATTAAAATTAACTCCCATTTCTCCTCCAGCCCTGTTTTTGCCAAATTAATTGCACACATATGACACCTCACTCACTAAATCATAGAATCACAGAGTGGTTTGGGTTGAGAAGGGACCTGAAGGATCATCTCCTTCCAACCCTCCTGCTATAGGCAGGGATAGCTTTTATTAAATCAGGCTGCTCGAAATAGCAATACTGAGTGAAGTCACCAGCAATGCCAGATCATCAGGTAATTAGCAGAGAGCAATCAAAAGCATCTGCAGTGCCTGTCAAAATACATCTCAATACACCAGTTTTTCTATGGGCCCCAGTGCCAACAGAAACACAAATGCACCGCAGTATCAACAAGATGAAAAGCAAATGCCACGTCAGCTGGGATGACGTTAGGTGACACTTGTTAATACCGTGGGATCACTGTTGGTCAGTCCTGAAGTGGTCAGCAGTTGGCCTGGATGACTACTGCAGGCCCTTTCCAACTGGAACKGTTCCATTCTTATTTTACTCTATTATTTTATGTCAGTCAGTACTTCCTCCAAGAGCATTCACTTCAAAATACATTTCTTTCATTAGTAAAAGAATCTAAGCAGTTTCTTTAAATAGACTTCAGTAAGCCCTGACACAATTTTGTTTAATTTTTCTAGCTCTGCATACTAAACTCTGAAGGATTATCTTTTCCTATGCATTTAAACTGTGTTCTTATACCAAATCCATATACTCTACACCTTGATTCATTGCATAATTTCCAAAATTGAAGCTCTGTACAGTGATAAAGTCATACTTACATTGTTATGAACGAAGATACTGAGTGCCTCCCGTGGGTAGTCCAGAGTCAACAGTCTGTCTAAAAATTTAGTTAGGAAAGGAGTKGGTTGTTCAATGAAAACACCAATTTTTACTCTTGGATATTCCTAAAAGAAATGATATTTTGACACAACCAGTAAGACTTGCCTCTTTTGTAAGATTAGCTACAGCAAAGAGCAACTAATGTCATGTTGTAGTAAACTTAGCCCMCACAGCTTTCAAACAATCAAAACCWGCAAGCTCAAAAGTGCTATGCACCCATTTATTTTCACTGGCTTCACAAAATAAGCAAAGATAATGAACTTAATATTGAATTATATAGAAAAATCTTTGAATTTAGTAACAGAGACTGGAAGTAGAAAATAAAGTACAATGGTTTTTAAAACTCTAAAAAAATCACTGAGACAGCAAAATAAACACCTAGAACAGAATGGCAAATTTGTTTTTTTTTTAAACAAGGCACATACATTAATTACAAGAAAATATAGGGGAGACCAGATTGTTTTTTGAAACAATTAAAGAATAAATACCACAAAATATTTTGGCCACTTGTACTTTAAGCCAAAGACTGCACCATTCTATAAATGTATTTGCAGTATCTCTCCTCATTCTTTTTAAGTGGGCTCYGCATCACTTCCTGACTCACTGATTTCAGAAAGTGAGATAAACTAACAGAGCCTCTCTCCTTACATCCAAGAATACTGAACTTTTAYAGACCTTATTATAATGTGAATTTGYATCTTTTGATAATATTTAGCTGCTTTGTACGTGCTTGATAGAGATCATGAGATCATGACCACTAAAAGAAACAGCACTTTTTTTGTACTCCTAAAGTGTAATATTGCACAATGCAAGACAAAGAAATTTAACCTTCAAAGCCTTAACTCCTACACAAAGAAATGCTCTGACTAAAAGTTATTTCCATCTCCAAACCAGACAATTACTATAAAAATCTAATGCATTACAAGGCCCAGAGAGAAACCTTATATGTATATAAAAGGCTGCCAGTTAACTTTTTAAGAAGGCCAACACCCACTTGAAAAGTGTCTGGATAAGCCATCAACACATGCTGAGATTTCACAGTGTCACCGTCTATATCGGAACCCAGAAACATCCTGGCAAGGGCCCCAGCWCAGAAACATCCAGAGTTTCCCTGGCTACCCCCTACTCACAGCTGCATCTGCAAACCTCGTAAGGGCTGGTATGAAAGCATACCCACAGAGACCCCAAGAGCTTCAAAAGAAATGATGAATACACTGATGTGTCTCCAGCAAAGCACCCAGGCTGTCACAGGAGCTGGTCCCACTGATGGCCAGGACAGGGGAAGCAGCACGTGCCATCGGGCTAAGCTGAGCATGGTCTGCTACCAGTGCTTCAACTGCTGCAGGAATTGCATTTTGAACATTTTTCTGATTCTAAGTCATTCTCCCCTTATTCTCCAGGGGAAAGAGAGRGGTTCAGGCTGGATGTGCAAAGGCTAYAGGGACAATGAGGAATTTCTGACACTGTTTCAGTAAGCTGAAATGTGRATCACTYRGCTCTACACCAAAGTCTCAGGAGTGTGACCAAAGCAACTGTGTTTAAAAAAATTGGAGTAAAAATTCCTGTAAACTGCATCTCCACAAAGCACAGAGTTCATCAAATTAGACCTGGTTTACCACAAAGGGCTGTCATTGCATAATCCAAATCTAGGTCACAATGAGCATTCTGAGTATATGRAATCAGAGGTTCCCTCTCAGCAAAACCACTTTGGGAATACCCAGTCTGCACCCAGATGTTCCATTTAATCTGATAGATTTTCTCATTTTCAGTGAAGTCACATATTTGACTTCTAAAGTTTAATTTTTCATAAACAGTAGTGGACTGTATGATAATTTCTGGAAGAAATAYAGGACAATGTCTCAGTACGATTACACAGAGCAAAGTCCAGGATCTCTTGCCACAAGAGCTGCCAGTGAAATGACAAGATGAGTGAGGTCATTCTGTTCAGCCACASTGGAAAGCCTCCACACCACTAAGAAGCTTCAGAATTTAAAAGCAGYTCTAGGGAGATTAAATTGAGCAACAAACTTAATTCAGGTTTCAGAAAAAAATTAAAAAAAAAAAAAATCAAACAAACAACCCTTAAGAAAGAGGCAGAAACTTGAACTTATTGACTCCAGCTGCACTCTTCAACTTATTTTCCATTATGCTGCTTCTACCTGAACAGATAGCTCATTTGGGGGTGGCACAGATGCTGACATACACAGAAAAGAGCAGTTTCTGAGTTTTTTCACACCTCAGCCATGACTGCAGCCCAGGAGATCCTGATGCTGTCAAGAGGACAAGAACTGAGCAAAAGACTGTGTATATGTACCTCTCAGCTCCTTTGCAGGCAACCCCAAAAAACGAGCAAAATCCTCCAAAGATATGAGTGAATAAGTGCAATCAGTTAAGACAATATAAAGACAATTATTAGAGGCACAAATTTTGCTTAACAAAGATTTCTTGTTAAGCAGCAACCAGACAGGCCTGAAGAGAGAGCACGTTCAGAAAGTGAAACGCTGCTGGTACTTAGAAATGCCTGAAGTAAACACTGAGGCCAAGGAAAAGCCTTGTTATTTCTGCTGGCAGAGGGAGTGAGGTGAGAGGTCCAAAGAATGCATTACAGTAAAGAAGACACGTTCCAAGCAGATGTACATAAACTACAGGAAGCCATCCAGCAAATCATTGCATCCCTCTTACTGGCTTTAACTGTTCCAAAACCACGTCTTAATTACCAACACCATTAGATAAAAAGCTTTGGCAACATCTTTTCCTCAGGTAGAYACTATGATGGGAGCGCAAACACTGTCTAATTAGAACACATTCAAATGTTTATCTTAAAAGCAAAAMYAAAATTTAAAAATACAGAAAAAAATCTGAACGTTATTACAATTCCAGCAATAACTTTTTTAGTTTATATTCCAGTTCATTAGCTACTTTTGCCCAGAAATTCTTTCACTTTTCCCTTTCATTACTAAGATAACAAGCCATTATTTCTTTCATGCTTTCTGCAAAACGATCTTCTAAGACCTGTTCTCATTCAAATCTTCAACACAGAACAGAAATGAAACAGCTGCTGGAAACAGCCTGTTAGGAATAATCAGAATTTACTTTTTCATCCAAGTCTTACAATTCCACATGGTAGAGCTTAGTATTTACTCTGCCTCAAATTTACTGTGTACAAGCTGAAATATTTATAGAGACATGAAAGACATCATGCTTGGAGTGAAAGAGCCAAGGCTTCCAAGTACTGGATAGGCACACATACCATGTGTATGTGCATGTTTGTCCACAAGAATTCTGAAAACTGAAATCCAGTCTCAATTATATCAGATTTTTTTCTACAGCAACACATTTGCTTATGCAATACAAATATCTGTATTGTCCTCTACAAAGTAAGGCAGTTTTGATTGTTTAATCTCASAAAATTAGTAACAGTAATCATGTCAGTTAACTATTAAACTCCATTTGTAACAGAAATTGTTCAGCTGATGCATACTGAATGTTTTGGAGGTCTGCTGCTAAAAATCTGAAATATCTAAAGAGTTTTTCTACCTCCTCTAAAATTCCAATTATACTCTCAAACCATGCACGTTTCAAAAATTATTCATTGACCCTCAGTGAACAGAGGTAAAGATCTTGAGAGCTTTTGGGGATGGCATCATCTTCAGTATTATTGTGCAAATAAATAATACTTATAATATACTTTAATACTTATATTAAAACAGACACATAAAAATATTCCTGAAAGYAATAAAACACAATATTGCATAAGAAAGCCACCTGGCCCCAGAAATCACTGAACTTCTATCAACTGCACCAAAAGGGGTTTGTTCCAGTGAAGAGTATTCCTACCTTTACTGTTGATAGGTCTAGTAAGTCTAAATCACAAACACTGCAACCAGTTTCCCGTGTCCAAGCATTAGGAATATAATTTCCCAAATAATTCAGGTGAATCTGGTAAATAAATGAACAAATTAATGACAGACACATGCAAAGGATGATCTATACCTTTCAAACAATTCAGGTTTACTCAYCCAGTTACTTGTAATTAAAGGCAACTGACAAGAAACAGACATACAAAAATAGCAGGTAAAAACTTTATCTTATTCTTTTTGTTGACAAAACAGATTATAGATGTACCATAAAGTGTACAGAAATGAGTATTTCATAAAAATAGCATGCACTTGAGGTAAAAAATAAAAGTATTACATGTCAGAATGTGAGAATAATTTAGTATCCATTTCAAAAAAGTATACCCAACCAATGCAATTTACTAATCTGCAGATTGGAGAGATTAAGTACAAAGAAGTAGCAGTTTATAAACAAAAAACTTTTAACTATTTGGAGTTAATTCTGAGAATTATTTTTATGCTAGTTTATTTACTAAACTAGGGAAAACATTTTTTCTAATATATTATTGTCCTTTTGATTCTATCCCATGTTCACAACAGAAACATTTAACTATATTGACAGAGTGATGCATAGCAAGTGTTTCCTCTTTGTTTTTAAAACATCACCACAGGCAGAGGTTGAGTTTTGCTTAATGTAGCATAACTCATGGATCAGTATAAGTATTTCCACCCTAAGCTGTTTGTTTTCTGTAAAATACAGAARCTTTCTTTCCATTGGCAACATGTCRGTAAAGCCAGTGATGACAGAATTTGAGGATTTAATTGAGGCAAAAATAACAATATGGAARGAACTGGTCATGCATTTCACCACCACTGAGTAGTTATGAGCCAAACAGATAGACATTCACTAATTCCAAAAACAAAATACAAGTGTCAAAGTAAAGAACCATCAGCTCCTGGGTTATTAATGAGTTCCAAACTTTACTTTGTTCTGAAAGGCATTTTTCTGAAAATAGGGGGCTACAGTAAGGCAGATTTATTCAGAAAAAAATCAGAAAGCAGCCATGCCCAATGCTTCAGCCAAMAGACACTGCTATAAATGACACATCTTTAACTTCTTTGGCATAGAACAAAAAATTCCAATGGCATATTACCAAAACACAGCCATTTCTCTCAGAGATATTGTGCATGGTCCTCTAGATCTGAATCTTCACACATGAACAGAATCTGTCAAAACAGCTACTTCACAGGGCAGGCAGTGCTCCATCATGTACCCAGAGCTGCCAATCCATGGGGACATTGATGGCACTGATCAGTGACACTCAAGACAGCAGCAAAAGCYAGCCACACGTGTACCTATACATATATAGCTATATATACCTATATATACACACACACATACAAAAATGCTTTTTCTTTTCCCTAAATACAATGTATTTTTCCATATATGTGCATACACACACCTGGGTGTTAGYAGGAGCAGACGTGTCATTGTTTTGTATCCCAGTCTGTCACTCTTGGCTAGATTATCCTCCCCAGTATTCTGCTGATTACCAATAAATAAACGGACAGACATTCCTCACTAGTTTCRAGAACTGTTTTGTGTTAGTGAACAAATTAACAAAAGCTTATTTGYTTCTAATATCCCATGCTACAATGAATTTGGGTGCAGAATGAGTTGTTTCAGCAGCAATATCAAGTTACAGTGACAGCAGAATAACACAAATTAGAATGAGGTTTTTATCCTCTAAATTCCTAGTAACATTGAATGGAAATGTGCACTGCTGGTATGTTACAACTGTTTCATACTCTTCTACAAAAATATGGGGTGGTTTTCCTCCAATAATTTTGTGATTTTACACAAAAACAAAACCAAACTGTCACTCACTTTAGTTGGACCATTTCCATGAATCGTGACTGGCAATGTGTCATACACTGAATTCCTTGCTCTTACTTTTCCCTCTTCAAATTTCAAAAGGACTTCATCTGAAAATCAACAAAGCAGTTAGTTCATAAATAAAAGCTAGAATTTCAGACTTCTTTAAATCCTTGCTCCTGTAACATATCTTTCTGTTGCCGTCATTGTCAGTATTATTTATTTAGAAGCTTTTGTTCATTTTTTTAAACTAGATCTTGAATTCTAAGTTCCTTATGATAAATAAGGTGACATCAAACATCAGTTTCTCATGAGCAACTTCAGTATTGGAGTAAAATCTGCTTTAAAAATAATTCTAATTTAGTGCAAAYGCTATTTATAGAGAAATCATAGTTATTTCAGATATGATCTCACCATAATTGGATGTCAAATGTAAGAAAGGAAGTGTGCACAGATGCATTTTTCCATTTAAATTCATGACAGTTAAAGGAAATCCTACATTACTTCACATTCTACTTTATTATGTATAGCCATGTGCTTGAGAGCCTCTAAAATGCAATTTTAATTACTAATTTTACTCCTGTAATTAGGTTTTTAAAAAGCAGATGGAAAAATCAATCTGTATTTATTGCCAACTTCATTTATTTAGAACTATTCTTTCTATTTTAAATAAAATATTTTATTAATGAGAGAATTCAATTAATAATCAACCCCAAAGACCTGTAACTACTCTGATAATCAGGACTACCCATTCAAACATTTCCTTAAAAGAAGCATATGTTTAAGGAACTACATTCATGGTTAAGCAAAACAAAATTATTAATAGCAGTTAATAAAACACAAAATGTGCAAATCTTGCACTTACCAACAGCTCCATTTAGGGTCTGGAAAATTGTACATTTGTGGTCCAAAGTAATGTTAATGCGCTCCTGAAATCAAAGTACCAAAGATGTTGAGGCATTCTAAAAGCCAAAGTTTTAACAGTAATGCTGCAATTATTTCACAATGGCAGCAAGTAATCAGGGAAAGTAATTCTAGGTGTTCTTTACATTGTTACATTTTTCTGTATTCCAAAGTTGTGCAGTTCTACAGCAATCAGTTTTGCATATGCAGAAACTCTAAACTTGAAGGATAAAGGTCATAGCTTTCCACAGRAACTGCAGTGTAGCAGCATAAGCCAAAGAAAATTGGTGTCATAAAAAAGAAAATTAACAAGTCTTGGCCAAGAAACAAAACGTACTGTGYTTCAGAGTGAGAAAAATACAAAAGTCAAATTTAAGTATCATGTCAGAATAGAAAACACTGGTGGTTTTAAAACATGTTCCTAATTTTGTTTTACTAATCCTAGCTAGAGTCTTACTTTAAATACCATGTTTCACCATAATTAAAATGTTGATTCAAGTAACATTTAAAACACACTTAACCTCTCTACAGATAACATCCTTTGTTTTGGTCTTCCCAGATCTTCTTACACGTTCTACAGCAAATTATTATTACACAAAGCATTAGTGGTGATGCATCGTAAGCACCATGGCAGTGTTTTGAATCACGGTGSAGCAGGGCTTTGCAGATACACAGCTCTGGTCTAGAAGACAATCTGTTTAGACAACTAATTGTATTACTCCTGACTTGGATGCAAAATCAGCTTTAATATCCTCACACTCTGTGCTTTCAATTGCATACCTGGCATCTGACTTAACTTGTGTAAAAGCAATTCAAACATTAAAGGTTGGAAGAAATTTTCGATGGGGAGTAGCTGAGGTTTGGTTTAGAGGAGCAGGCTGAGGAGTCACCTCCATGCTCCCTGCAGCTTCCTGAGGGGGTAAAGGGGAGAGGGAGGTGCTGTGCTGGTGGGAATGTGCAAAGCTGCACCAGGGAAGGTTCACACTGGACCTTAGGAGGCATTTCTTTATGCAAAACCCTGGATCAGCTCCTAGAGAAGTCATCAATACCTCCAGCCCATCAAGTATYAAGGAGGCCTTTGAGTAATGACCTTAATACACCCTAAACTTTTGGTCAGTCCCATGCTGGTCAGCCAGTTGAACTAGATGATCACTCTAAGTCCCTTCCAACAGAAAAATTCTACTTCTGAGCCTGTATCCAAACAGACCTGGTTTTCCATTAAGTTATGCCAGAAACAACACGTATATATTTCAAAAATTTTGCATCTGCCTTAAGCACACAAATTATCAAAATCCTTCTCCAAATTCTGCTGTATCAGCTTCTAAAGTATTTTTACATCAATATTGTTAACTTTCCTTATCCCTCTTTTTCTAGCATCAGGGACATGCCTCTGACCTCGATCGCTTTAACACTGTTACTCAGCAGAGAACTTTGTTAAGCGAGGGCACAGAGAGGTTRTCACCAGAAATTTACAATTCAGCTWTATTGAACATATTTACACAAAAAGCTGAAGGCAGGATCTGAAATGGCAGYGAGCCAAAATATAAAACACTGGATCAGCAAGTAGTTCAGTGACACCCTGGAAAAATGCCACATTCTCCAGCCGTCAAACTGCCACGTACAGRGGACCCTCATTGAGATGGATGTGTCTGATCACACACCTCAGAGCTGCTATTTCTAACAGTGAAGCACAACCTGCCTGGGTCTGAAGACAGCCTGAAATAATACATCAAGTGATGACCCTTTGGRAGCCCGTTCATCATTGCAGCAGTAGGAGCCTCAGGAGAACAAACACAACTGTCAACATGGCACTCCAGTAGAGACARCATGCCTTTCCTTTCAATCTCCTGGTGTTTTATGAGGAACAGCACATCATTTCAAGCAGAAAGAAATAAGGAAGCGGGTTACTACCTACCCTTGCCAATGGGTCAATGTAGATTTTGGTGTAAAACAGCTGGTCGTCATCATTATCCTGCAGATTCCATTGCTGCACAATACGATTTATAGATGGAGCATAACCAATAAATCCTGCAACATCACACACACACAGGTTATTTCCATAAAAAATACTACCCTGCCAAGGCTCTCCACCAATCACAGACTTTATTCTGAATGATGCCAGTAAAGAAAAAGTATAAAATTCATGCAACTTGACTCAAAATACAGTTTTCATCCTTAGGCGTGCAATAGTTCCGTTCCAAAGAGTTAATAATTAATGGCTATTTTTATACTAATGGTATTTTAAGGGAAAAAAATTAATCAAATTGTCTAGGATGGAGAATGCCAAAGCATGATATCAGACATTCACTTTTCTCAAGTAGCCCMTGTGTGGAAGAAGTTTCATTTCCAATCACCTCCTACTGGCAGAAATGCCTGAAACGAATACTGCCAGCAATACAATGAGAATTCAACTCAAAACCAATATACACAAAAAAAAAATAAAAAAAAAATAGGGCAGATAGGTGAGGGAAAGAAAAGAAACAGGGACATCCCCAGATCTCCACCCTTCAGAAGGGTGTCCCAGAAATGATACATTCAATAGCTTCTACAGGGCACAGTATCGCTGTCAGTGCTTGTATTAATCAAGGGCAAAATTATTACCAAAGCTGGCATTTCAAGGAGAGTTCCAGAATTAATGCATCATCGAAATGAACAGGCATAGCTCCCACTACTCTTAGAAGGAACTCTGTAAGCCATGCTGTCAGGCCAGGCAGGGCTGCCAGCACACCCACCCCACGTGCAGAGATCTCCAGGAACAGACAGCAGAGTCAGGCATCCTGTGACCAGCCAAAACTGASCCTATAAATAGCAAGTGCAGCCCTGCCTGGGCTTGTGCACTGCATTGTTTCTGAAGCAATGGGGTCATCCTTGCACAGCATTTCTCTGCTGGCTAGACCCTTAACTATATTTATCTGCTTCTCACAAGATATTGCCACACACTCTGCAAATTCAAATGAAAACCATGCTGGAGCACAGAACAGGAGCTATTCAAGTGGAGAGGGGAGAAGTAGTCCTCAATTTTACACTTGGGGATTCAGGAACAGATCCACACACAGAACAGGTAACAGAGGTGGGTCATGCTCAAGTTAAGAGTATTTAAGGATTTCACTTGCCTCCTGAGCTCAGGAATCGTTTTCCACTYCGGACAACAGGATACTTGTCAGCCAGCCTTTTATCGGGCCAAATCAGTCCATCTGCTGCAAAGACCACTTTATGATTAGCTTCCCGAAATTTCTTTAGTAGTTCTTCAGGGCCCCCGGCAAAGATAACATCATAGCTTAAAAGTAAAGAAAAGAGATCCATTAGGTTAGCTTCACTTTAATGTTTCTGTGTTTCAAAACAACAAGTATTTAGACAATTCAAATTTAAAAAATCAAATAGGCCTTTATTTCTGAAAAATGACTCAATTACATCATATTTAACTACCATGTAAAAATTCTATACCCTTCTGGGAGAGAAAYTTCAATCAATACTATTTATCAAAAATAGCTTCCCCCCTTCTGCTTTTTAACCTTTCACATTCTGGACATTCTTTTTTCCTCACATTTTGCCCACCTGAAATCAAATTTCCTTTTTCAGGTATTTTGAGTAAAAAAAGTCTTTTTTCCCCTTTAGAAAACTGTTTATATTCTTAAAAACAACTYAAAAAGAAAAAACCAAAACCTTAACAGATGAAAGAATGGACTGAAGGATGACTTGGGTAACTTTCACTAGGAAAATCCAGATGGCCTCGTTCTGAAACACAACAGCACTGATTCTTCTGAACAGTCTTATCAAGAATGTACTTAGATCTCAATGAAGTCCAGTTGCCCATAAGAAGTGTGTTGCATCCTGACAATATGCAGGTTTCTCCTTCAACCTGTTTAACCTGCTGAAGACTTAAAATGGCTCAAAGCATCACAATTTTTTTACACTATGTATGAAAAACTTCACCTGCCTTTATCCCTTATCAGATTTGAGTCTCAATTCCTATTGGAGGACAAAGACCTAAAGGTGGAGGGTTCATATTTGGCCATCACCCACATCCAGAAGTCCACACTGTGCCAAACCAGAAAGAAACCTGTCTGGGTTTGGCTAAAGTCCTGTAAGAACAGAGTATCCCAAGCCTGGTGGTTTCATGTGCTGCACCATATCTAAATSAAAGCCTGGTGGGCACAGGGGGCTGGGAACACAACCAACCAAACAAATCAATGCCCCCACTGTGGGCAGGGATGCCACACACCAGCCCAGTGTGCTCAAAGCCCYGGCCAACCCAGCCTGGAACRAGGAATCTGCCAGGGATTGGGYACCCACAGCTTCYCTGGGGGACCTGTGCCAATCCTYGCMCTGCAAGGTTCTCAATGCACAGCATCAAGAATGACACAGTCAAACTGAAACCACATCACAGATTAGCCTCTGGCTGACAGAGTGAAATATTTAATGGCAGCATCACAGCCTCGCAGTTTCCTCATCTGAATGCAGGTATATTCTTACTCTACACATGCACCTTAGTAACTGAAAATCACCAGCCCTGGTAATGGGCAAAGGAACAACAGAGCAACCAAAAACCAAGGTTTAACCTTGCCCAAGGCTTTTCTTGCAAAGACTTTTAGCTGAGCTAGCTAGGACAGCAGCATCCCCACTTGCAGTAAACTGAACATTCTGCATCGCAATGTATTACCCAGAAATGGTGCCAACAGACCAACCATTACTGCCTTAYGGTACTCCTTTATTGCAGTTCTGAAATTATTCAGGATGTCTTTCCTTTAAAGAGGTTTTCATTACATTAGCCTAAGAGAACTGAACAACAGCTGGCTTACAAATGTAAAAAAATACTTCCACCACAAAGTATGAACCCTGGAGAGGAAGTGTGTTRTGTAGTCTATATAAGTCAGTGGTTTTCTGAAAACTCTGTTATGTTTTTCTGCAACTTTGGCAGAAGAACACATGAAAGAAATTGTACATTTTGAACCTTCCCCAGTTTCACACAAAAATGCCTGTTTCTGCCCAAATTTACAGGAACACACTTCACTCCCTTTTCCATCCAATTTCTGTAGGCCAACTCAATGCCAGACTGAGTCTGTAGAACCACACAAGAAACAGGAGACACGTTGAAGGCAGACAAAAAGAGATCTGTCTGAGGCTTTAGCTTAATAGCTTATGGCAGGCTGTGCTTCTCCTCTGTGATCAGGTTGGGGCTGCTGCTGCTATGACTTACAGCTGCAGGAAGGAACCAAACACTCTGGAACATTGCTTCCAAGGACTGTCATTCTGTGAAAGAAAGCCAAAGCTGAGCAACACGCCAGGCCAGCCACAGGCTGTGCTTGTGAAAGGGATATGCTACTAATGCAGCCCACTTGATAATCCAAAGCCCAGGGCTGAGCTGCTAAACTGCAATGGATCTTATACAGCAGCATTAATCCAGCACAAACATTATTGGCCTGCCAATAATGCCTAAGGCCCTCTGCTTTGTCCAGAGGTGACACTGTCACCACACCCCTTCCTGGGCAGGACCTCCTTCCTGCCACCCCTTGCTGTCAGTGTCCTCATCAGCTGCTTCATGAGGCTCCCACTTTTCTCTCCACGCAAAAGCAAATCTTCTAAACACCTATAAATGCATCACTTGTTTACCTGCTCTTTCAGATTACACTTGGCCTATTCAGACCTCACCTCCTGCAGTAGAGGGGGGATTTCCTTCAGGTCTGCACCACTAAAACCATCACAAAACAGGTCCCAGGACGACCTCTGACAGTTTATACTGTTATTAGGGGTGATGCAATGTCTTTACAGGACTTCAAAATTTGACAGGGAAAAAGAGTGTGGACATATCCAGGAAAAAGCAGGCTTCCTTGGCAACCAGGAATAGCTCAGATACTCTTATTTATTCTTTATAAATCCTTCCAATTAAGTAGAATAAAGAAAGGGAAAAGAAACCCAAAACAAAAAAAAAACCACCAAACCCAGAAAGTTTCCACAACCTAATCCCATTTCCTGAAGCTCCCAGATGGCAGATGCTTGGGACTGGAATCCATTCATCCCTCCCCCTCTTCTGCAGCAACAAAGCATCCTGGAGTGCACCCAGCACTCCCAGCAACACAGGGAAACAGCAACAGAGACTCAGCTGCTCTAGAAATGACCACCTAATTTTTGCATCCACAACTCTAACTGTGAGAACCTGTCACTGTTATTGGAGCTCAAAAGATGAATTAAGAGCTCAAAATACAAGTGAGAGAGTGCCTACTAGTGACTAGCAATGCCACAAAGCAGACACAAAGTATTTTGTCACCTGGACTGTGTCCCCAATGGGATCACACCTTAACCATTTTGAGATACACAGAAAATATAATTATCCCTCAGTTTCTGACATATTTAAATAAAAAAATGCAGCAAAACAAACAATAAACTGAGAGGCTTCAAAATTCTTCCACAATACAAAGAGGTGTCTGTGGGAGCTCTGGATGAACAGGCACAGCACCAACCAATTTATCCAGTCTACGCTGGCCATTAGCCAGTTCAATCTGAAAAGGTCCAAAATAAACCAGTAGTTAGCTCGAGCAAAAACAAGCCTAATTTAAATTGTGTTCCATCTGCAGGCATTTTGCTGTCCACACACAGACACAAGCTGTCCACAGAAGTTCAAACTATTTCCAGAATTCTGAGCTATATAACAAACAGCTCAAAGAAAATAATCCACTAAACCCAAAAAAAAACCCCATCAAAAAAACTCCGAGAAACTAAGTTTGTTAAGTAAACAGTTCCCTAGAAATTACTTGCCTAGTTACAGTAAGCAAACCAGACATTTCCTTTCCCCACCCCCAAGATTAATATTCCAAATGCTTCACAATGAATATAATAAAAAACATTTGAAGAAGAAAGGAAGTTCATGACATTTGTCTTTTCTAAACTTACTGCTACATTGATCAATGTTTAAATTGCAAACCAGGACTTCTGGAAATGAAAAAGCTCATTAGAGTTAAAATATAATGCAAAAATCTGTGAACTGTTTTTTCTCTCCTATCTGGAATCAGTTYCACCAACTTTAAATAAATAAGTACTTGGGATTTCAGACCTCAGGAACTTGCAAGGCCTTAAATCCTGTGATTTTTCATGGAAAGAAAGATTATAGCTTCTGTACTTCAACACACATGGTCCTCTGTATTCTCTCACCCGTGCCAGCAGACAGCCCGCCCCTCGAGAGAGTAATGATGGAGAAAAATTTGAGCTAGAMCCTGGCACCAACCCAATAATAAATYTGCATATTTTACCAAATAGGAAGAAAATAGTTATGAATTAGGCTAAAAAATTCAGAAACAAATTCAATCTAAGTAGAAAACTTTTGGGAAATGTTTGATTCATCTGAGATGTAGTACAGAATGAAATCCTTCAAATTAACCTTTAGAAGTTTCAGTTTTTGTATTGTTAGGAGGACAACGCTATGAACAAAAACATATTTACTTTTAGAAAGATACTTTTTTCCATTTAGCAAATGCAAAATGGAYCAAGTCAATAAGAAATTCATAAACTAAATGAGCACCTCCAAACTGTGTTACTTTTACAGACCTAAGCAGAAAAAAATATTCAGTATAATAAGCATCCCTTATAATGTTTATTTATAAATTAGTGAAAATTATTTTGATTTTATGCTTTCTATGCATTTCTTTTATTCATCACAAGAGGCACACAAATTGGAAYAGAAAACTGAGTAACATATTTGAATTTCTACCACTTTCATAGGCTACTCCAACTTTCCCGAAGTGTTAACTTATGCAAAACAACAAACGAATTTTCCATAAAATGCCAGTGTCTAGCCACTTTGCCATGTGATGGTGTCTACTGTGCAAATCCTGCCAAGCTCCTACCTTGAAAAACTGTCCCTAGATTTCTTCAGCCATCAAATTTTAAATAAATAAAGCAGGTGAAAAGCTGAAAGGGAATTCTGRAGCAGACATTCCAACATGACTTGGTAACAGCAGCACGAGTGAACTCATACGTGACCTTCTCCCAGCCTCACTCAGCTGCCTCTCTCCAAGGCTGCCTGCCTGCAATTGGAGCTTCCTGTTCCTGATTCAASACTTGGTCCCACGCCTTCCTTGCAGTGATTATTTCAGAGCTGTGACCCTGCTCTGGTTCACATGAGCATGGAGGAGCCTGCTGTGTGCTGTAAGCTGCATTCTGRGCTACTCTGATCATGCTGTTGTCATGGAAAATAAGAGGAACAGAAAAAGCAGAGGGAAGCAATGGAGAAAGTGTGATTTGAACATGTTTGAGCTCAGTGTTTTCTGTGACAGGGAGAAACCTTTATGGTCTGCAGGGAGCATGCTGAAGCATAGCTGTGCTATGAGCTACAATCTGGCACCTGCAGCAGCCCTGTGTCTCCATCCTTCCATCACACAGATAGCACAGGCACCAGGGTACATCTGACACCAAGCCTTCCTTTCAGTAAAAGAAGCTCTCTTGTTAAACACTTTCCTCAGRGACCCATTCCAGCTTCCTCCATATCACTGTTACTTCATGGAATGAGATTATGTCTCTGGTCCCCACTGGACACTTTATTTCTGGAGCTGCTTCTGCTGCCCCTCCTCTCTGCACTCCCAGCCTGCAGCCACATCCTGCTCTCGCTGCAGCTGAACAGGGAGAGGACAAATGCTTGCCTAAAAGCCTGTCAGCTCCCAGTAACAYTTTTCTACCCCCTGGAGGCAGCAGAACTATGAACAGCTCTTACATTTGTAAATCTGTTAAAAAGTAACGATAGCTTCAAAAGCAATCYACTATTTTTATGAATGAAGGAAAACAGCCACAAACTCTCTCAAACAGCGAGGAACAAAAGCATCATGCAACTTTTTCAGCCTGCCCCAGCAGCTACTTTTGCATGCCTACCCAGACCAAAATGTAAAGACAAGAGGCCAGGTTTGCTCACCATTCCACAAACAGCACAACCAAGTCCTCCTGATCAGCATAGCTTTCAATGCCTTCTTTCAGCAGACGAACTTTCTGCCCTCCGCCAATAGAGTTGGGCAGCTCACCGCCTTTCCACTCTTCACCTTTTCCAAGAACCTAGAATAAGAAAAAAAAAAGTGCTTTTTGCTAGTACCCAAACCCATGAGGCTTTTTTAAAGCGCACCCTTATTGAAAACAGATGCCAAAGCAGAAGCAAGACATTAAAGCATAGCAAGCCAGCACTTCAAACATCGTAAGTTTTTCATGTCTGAAAAAGCATTCAGCACAATGACATCACTGCAAAAACATGAGCRAGACATTTCTTAACCAAATAAGAATCGAGCAATTGCCTGCTACTGCCATTTACTCAAATGTGTTGCCTTCAGAAAAAAAAAATTATAAAAAAAAAAGCTAAGGATAGTTTCAAAATTAGTATTAGAAAAAGTTTCTTAATGAGACCTTTGAGATTCAATAAAATGACTTTAAGAACAGAGGGCTCAAAAGACCTTGGTGGATCGGGGTATAACTACTTCAAATTGCAATCTTCAATCCTTTTGAAGGTTTTCCCAATACACAGTTCGCTGCTAAAACTCAGCTAAATATAAAATTCCTCCCCAGCCAAACACTATAGCAGATTACACGTCAAAAAGGAAAGGGGAAAAAAATAAACTCTTTACGTGTTTTGAACATAATGTTTTTGGAACGTAAAAAGTCTGGAAGAACTACATTGCATGATGTTTTGCACAAAGCTGAAAAGCTAAAAGATGTATCCAGAGCTCAGGCTGCTCAGGTGGTTTAGTACAGCTTTATGATATTCTCCCAGTCCTCCAAATTTGGTGGTAGAATTCAAACTTCAGAGACCCAAATAATTTCCTATTTATAGTGCAGGCACTRTGGTTAGTAAGCAGAAAAATTTCATAACAGCATCTGAATTCCTGGATTTTCTCTTGGCAGAACCAAYTTGTGGGGAAAGTTTAGAAGGTTAGTGCCCTCCCTTTTTCCCAAGGTCATGCAGAGGCCAGCCTAAGTACATGACACATGGAGGCRTGGAGCAAGGCAGAAAAGGCTGGCAATAATGATAGAAATTCATTGTCCTCTCAGAAATTACAGGTTCCTGGGAAACACAGTGAAATTTTCAGTAGTGATCCTCCCTCTGTTCTTGCAGCAGTGATCCAGCCTTATTTAAAGAAAGATCCAAAGACCTTGARTGCAGCACAACTCCCAGAAATATTCATGCAAACAAAATCAGCCACACTGGAAAACAAAGCTCTGTGATAAAGCATGACAGATAGACCCTTCGCATGAGAAGGATGCTGACCAGCACAGCAACAAATGTCTAAAGCTGCTCCTGAGGCAGTGGAAAACACCTCCCTCCCGTGACTGCTCAATGGGGATTGGCAGGTGAGCAACAGGAGAGCAGCAAGTGCCCTGCCTGAACCCARCTCTGCAGCTGCTTCCCTCTGTCCCAGCACACAAGGAAGCAAAGGCAAGCTCAGCTACCATTTACTGGTTCTATTCTACAGCACAAATATTTGGTACAGAACACACAATACCTTTACTGTGTAGTTGAAATGCTTTGCAGTYCGCATGAAACGGTGAAAGCCATCAGTTTCTTTAGTTGCTACTGTAAAGACTAGTAGTTTATCTGAGGAAGAAAAAGGAGGAACATTCATTAATATGTTTTCATGGCACAGTTTATAACAAAAAATGCAATGAATAGCGCTAGATCAGGRGGGCTTTCTATATCTCGTTCAAAGAGAAAAGGCAAATCCACTGTCATATGATAGGTGTGAGACATTACAAACCAACAACTGCTATGGGCAAGGGGGAACACTTAAAATTATACTCTGGGCCCCCAACAAGCAACCTTTACTGCTTTTCAGTCCTTGGGCAGAGACAAATGAGCAAGGAGTTCGCTTGGTTGTTTTTTTTTTTAATTCAGAGGATGCGTAAATTACAGYACTGCTAATTTTGCCCTCTTACTGAACACAGGCAAGTGATCATGCAACCAATTTCCTCTTCAGATTCCAGAGCTTTCAAGACAGTTTGAATGGGGTCATGAATTCCCACTAAACAGCTTCCCAATTAAACTACTGAGCAGCCTTTAGAACTCCATGAAATATGCTGCATAATCAAACTAAATAATTTGAAGCTATGAGAAGGATACTACCCCTATCTAAAATCAAGTGTTTAATCAGACCAGCCTGGATGCCAGAGTACATTGTAGTTCCCCAATTCAGCTCAAGTTCAAGCAAGAGCGGCACTCTAAACAGAGCCCATGAGATCAATCCTTACAATAAAATAAAATTAATCACCTATGATGAGTATTCCAGACAGTGCCTGTTACTGCATTACTTTCCAAAAAAAATCCTCTGGATTTATCTCCCTCAGTCCAGTAACATGTGCTAGAAGTGTCTGCTATGGAAAACATTCCTATTGTCTACTACGCCAGGCTTAGCAGCCCTGAGACACCCAAGACATCATCCTGAGTGTATTCAATTCATTCACCACTTGCCATTTTATGTGACACGGTCAAAAATTAACACCAAAGATGAYGACCCACTTCCCACTTTGTAGGAAAATGCACCTTGTAAGTTACTCGTGCAATGCTCTGCAGCCAGTGCCAGGGTACTGCAAGAGTACCTCTGCTCAGTCAGGCAAAAACACCTGTCCAAGTACAGACAATTTGTAGAGAAACAGAAGACCTTATTCTACTGAAAACCAAGGCTGTCTGAAGAAGCCACAGTAGGCAAACTATGCAGGCTGGTCACAGGAGCCACCCAAATTGTTTCCACTGAAAYAAGGCTTAGATTCACCCCAGCCAGCAGGTCACTTCCAGAACATCCTGCCATGTCAGACAGTGCTCTGGCTACTCCATCCTCAACAGCAGCTGGACTGGTGGACATGAGGAARAACAGGGATAAGACAAATACATCTGATATTTTCTCTACCTTTTCTACTGGTCTCAGTTTAATGGTGTTCCTGACTTAGGTGGTGTTTCCACCTAATTCCARAATATCTGATCTGCTTTGTGACCTTGCTCTTCCCTTGCCATTCCTTGAGCAAATGTAACCTTTAAGCAGTGACAGCACCATCTGCCCAGTACCTATACCACCAAAACCAATCTGTGCCTTGAGCAGGGCTCCTACAACTTCATCTGWCACTGCCCAAGTTCATCAACTGCAGACAACATTCCTACCTGCCCTCTCCACCACACACAACTTTGTGGATTTCTGTCTCATTCTGCTATTCCTTTTGCTGCTTTTTTTTTTATTGTGGGGGGCTGGGAAGCACGTCTGTGAACAGTGGGACAACACATAATCCTTTTCCTCAACAGTCCCAGAGGCAATTTTAACTGCCGGCTCTACTGAACAAGACTGACACTCCYGCAACACAGCACACAACAAAGAAGAAACTGGAAATATTTTAAATGCTTCCATCAGCTCAACATTCAAAAATATTGGAAAGACAGATTTGGAAGATTAATTGCTCTACCTTTCCCCCCTTTAAGAGCTTGCAGACTTTGTAGGAAAGAAAATGAAGAAAATCTCCCAAATACATCTCAAAAGGGTAGGAGGATCTTACGGTACAATGAGTTCACACTGACTTACAGGGAGACACTGACACACTGACACAGGGAGACTTACAGGGAGAGCAATAATGGTTCAATACCTTCAAAACAATTTATTCTAAAGATCATGCAATTTCAAGTAATTCTACTGAAGTYGCCACAAAATGAATAAAGAATATTTTAGACTATGACTATATAGACTACATATCTTAGACTATGACTAAAACAGAACTGAAGACAGAGAAGGGTTTTCCTCTATGAAGGAAATTATGGCTAATWATTTGTTCAAGAACTACATTTTCAAATTACAGAGAACTGGAAAAATCTGATCAGATCAGAACTGCATAGTCAAGCCAACTGAATTCATTRTTAGAAGTTTCCTAGGTGACCAGATCACCGACTATGACCATGGAATTTGGTTTCAAGTAGGCATATTTCACACCTACACATTGCTAAGAAATGCAAACAGCAAAGATTTCGAAAATCTGTACTTGACAACATGATGTAAATGACAAAATGTGGGCTGCATCAGATTCTTTCCACAGTTACCAAGTCAAAGAAAGTATTAAAGTAACATACAAGTACAGTTTGGCAAGCAAAAAATAATCTACTGTTCTTTATGGGATATTGTTACTCTCTCTTAATGGAATACACATTATTCATGTATCTCAACATTCACTATAGAGTCTGGTATGTTACTTGACTTTTGTGGAACAGGAGGGAAGAGAATAATGTGCCAGATCAKAAGGGATTTCAACCTGAACCATGCAAAATGAAGAAAGCTAAGCAGAGAAATAACGCAGTTTGTATTGACATGAAACAGCAAAAGAACCTGTACTGTAYCAACAGACAATGAAGCACTGTAAATAGGTTGCCTAAGTCACATTTGCAAGCAGCCACAGAACAAAAGAAAGCTATTTTAAAGGTACTATTCACAATGGAAATGTTTTCTTTTTAACATACTTACCCTTGGTCTTTTTTTTTAATTAGAGATGAATTTTAAAAGGCTTTATTTCATGTCTTTGTTGCACCACTGACTTTAAGTGCATRTGGTACTTAAAGAATTTTTAAGTGCAACAGAAGTGTAATTATAGCATTTGAAGTCTCTTTAGAATTAGAGTTTCTTTACAGATTACTTAGTCTTTGCTGGAGCCTCTTTTTTGTTTTGGTTTGTTTGTTCTGTGGGGTGGTTTGTTCTTTTTTTTTTTTTTTTTTTTTTTTTGGGGTGGTTTTTTTTTTTTTTTTTTTTTTTTAAGTAAGCTGTGTCAGGCCAAAAAGCAGAGCAACATGCTTTTATTCTATATATAATATATATGGAGGGACAATGGAAAGTACATTAAACGATAGTTACCTTGGCACATTATAGAGGGTATTATTAACCAAACGAGGAAAGCAGAACCATTCTCCTCTAGGTAATAAAAAAAATATTAATCTAATTCCTGTAGGTTGCTGTGACTATATTTAGCGTGACAACTTGCACAGWCACTGGCAAACTTCCACTTAACGCAGCATGGGAGATACATGCTTTTCCCAGTGGAAGTGAGTGAAGAGAATGCTTCTGACCACTAAATACTTTTGCTAATTTCTTTTTAACCTTTTAAACTTCATTCACTTTGAAAAATCTATTCCTTATTCTCTACATTTAGGTACAACAACCTCTTGGAACACTTACCCCATTTGTGTTTAGCAACATGAATCCAAAATGACTGAGTGTCGATGTGCAAGAACAACACTCCCAAGGGAGCAAGTTTATCCAAGAGCCGTTTCCATTTCAGGATGTGCTCAGCTATTCCAGAGGCTGCCACCCACAGTGTCCCTGCTGTGCAGAGCAGGTTTGGCCCCAGGACAAGCCCTATGGGTGCAGAGATTCAGGCTGCACTAGAGCCCTTCCCTGCACAGAGAGGCTGAGTGAGTGCCCAGAGCCCACAGCAGCATCCTTGCCCTGGCTCAAGCTGTGCAAGGAACATCCARGCACAGCAGTAGTCTGCAATTATTCAGACCCCAAGCTACCACTRTGGCTCGGTACTCTCCAGTGAGAGCACTGCAAACCCCTCAAAAGGAATTCCAGCTGCAGCTGGACACTTCCCACTTCACCACCCACTCCAAAACCCCTGTCCTCCATTGAGGTGTCCACCCTGAGGAGCTCTGCTGGGTGATYTCACACAACCTTGAGCTCYGCAGTTAAACTCTGACTACCCACACACACAAGGGGCAAATTCACAATCTTGGCAGAATCTTCCAAAAGGAACAGCATCCTCAAAGTGCAAGCTTACACAAAACCAAGGCCAGAGCAGGGGGGTCGCACTGCTCCCCCACTGGCAGGGCACCGAGATGCCGCAGAGGGTACATTTGGCATTTGGCTCACACACAGCCTGCCAGAGGCACCTTGGCAGTCACTGGAGCATTACTGAGCTTGGCATTCACTTCCACAAGTCAGCTTGTGTGAAAAGGAAATGTAAACCCTATACTGAAGTTCAACAGGAAGGCATGAAAAAAAAATCTCCCAAGAGCTCCATGCCAGGTACGTGTTCAGTTATGAGRACAAAATTGTGTCAGACAGATTTCCGATAGTTACACCCGCAGAACAGCTGTTCTGTTTTGAAAACAAGCCTGAGAGGGCGCAGGTTTAGCCAAGAAAAGTATATCCAGTGACACRCAGAATTCATTTATACATGCAAATTAGAAACCCTCTAGCACACAAGTTGTAAAGGACAACACTGCACATGGAGCACATGCGGCGAGTTAGGAAATCCAGTGAAAGTTTATCAAAACAACTCACTCTTTCACTCGTGTTGTGCTGTTACCTTCAGGGACCTGACTGCATAATAAATACTGATTTCCAGAAAGAAGATCAATAAACCAGAGCTTATGTCTTCAGTGACTTGCCTGGCAGGGTCTCAGCCAGGAATGGCTATGGCAGGACTGCTTTAAGCAGCAGTGACCTTTCTCCTCGTATCCTGGCAAAGCATGCAAGGAACTACAGTCATTCCTCACACGCCCACATGGTTCTTATTTATCTTGAATGAACACTCTCAGAGATTACTACATAATTTCTACCAGGGCTTGTGGGCACT